AAAATGTCTCGCAATCCGGAAATGGCGGGTTCCTCGGATCATTTGAAGCAGCTTCTTCCTTTACAAAAATGTTCTCCGAGACACCATTAACGAGTTATTAACGAGAAACAGTGACCAATAAGAATCGAGCACGGCTGACGCGAGGCGGCCCAGCCAACCAGCGCGCGAAGCCCAGTTCCGCTCATTGGCTCGGTCGCCTCGCGCCAGCTGAGCTCGTCTCTCATTGGTCACTGTTTTTCGTTAATAACTCGTTAACGGTGGCTCGGAGAAAATTTTTGTAAAGGAAAAAGTTGCTTCAAATGACCCGAGGAGTATTTATTTATAGTTGTCGACAGAGTCCGGTAACTACCGAAACGAGTCGTAAGGCTTGAACAATCGTGTTTCCTCTCGCCGAATTGTCCATTTTCGTGCACAATCTTCGATTAGGGAGAAGTTACTGTACACTGTTTCCTGTTTCGAAGCATCGAAGCATCGAAGCGGTTCCACTTATCGGCGAGGATAATTCTGCGACATTCGAGCGGGAGAAGAACTGTGACGCTCGAGTGGACGATACTGTATAAGGTTATCTGGGTCCAGTTAAGTATGACGTGGGCCCGGTCAAGCCTTGAGCGGAATCGGTGAAAATCGAAGGCAACAGTTCGAGTTGAACCGCGTCGACGTTCGTGTACGAAGATTCTAATGAATTCTAACAATGTGCAAACGAAGCAAAGCAAACTGTTTTCGCGTTTTACCGCGTCCACAGTCGCACCGCTTATGCAAGAGTTTTAGAATAGAGGTTACCTCGATCGCCCGCGCTACGATTTCCTTCACGACTGCGCTGATCGATACAATTTTCGTTTTTGTCGCGTCTTCGTTTATTTTCGTCCTCGGACATCGACGACGGAATGATCAAATTTTGTTTCCATTTACTGGAAATCTACTAAACATAAATGTTAATTATTAGTAAATCATGTGTAAAATATTTCATACGGCGGAATCCGTACCTTCCGGTTTTGGATGACTTCCGGTCGCAACATAACCTTAACGATTAGCAATACTAAAATTTAACACTACGCCGTCCGGTGGCACCACGCTGGTGCCATGCAGAAACTGAGCCGTTTATTTTGAAAGTGGCATAAGTCACTTTACCGTAATGAAAAGTGGTGATTTTTTAATGTTTATCCGAAATTATTTATACTGAGAAAAATATCAGTATCCTGAGATAACAAATACAAGTAAATCTTTTCGAAAGTTAGCATCCATATTTTTAAACGTGTTAAAGCGCAAACTCTTAAATATATCGACTTGAAAATAAAGTGACTTATGCCACTTTCAAAATAAACGTCTCAACTATCTGTTGTATGCCGGTGGTACCACTTTGGTGGCATTTTAAAAAACTGAAATAACATTTGAACTATATTTCTTCGGTGTTAAAAGGCAGCAAACTAACTATAGCATTGCGCTTATTTAACTAAGAATTAAGTACGAAAATTCTTGGACGACATATCTTAATTTTAGGAATTTATATTACCACCATCTTCGAATTTTTCTTTTAAATCCAAAATTTCCAAGCTATTGTGCCAGCGTCAAACAAAAGAATCATATCTAAGATCTGCGGACGGCATAGCGTTAACATAACCTAGACTAGCTGTCGTAGTGCATTAATTTCGTCGCAACCATGACGGGGGGGGGGGGGCTACTCGTGGCGGCGCGTATAGTATAGAGTTAATGTAACCTAGACTAGCTGTCGTAGTGCATTAATTTCGTCGCTACTCGTGGCGGCGCGTAAAAACAACGGGCGTGGACTAGAGTGAAAACTGACCCAGCTTTTTCGACACGCTGTTGACAACGTTGAATCGCGAGCCGGTCCTAGACCCGATCTCTGTTGACTGGAATCTCGCGAAGGCTCCCCTAGGAACGGGTCAAACACACGTCATAGGGGAAAGCTAACCTGTCGATCGGCGAGTAAGCAAGCAAACGTTCCTCGGACCGAAGGGGGTTGAAGCCGGGGAGGAAGAGGAAGAGGAGGGCGAAGGAAGGAGGACTGCGAGAGCGGAAAGAGGAGAGAGAGAGAGAGAGAGAGAGAGAGAGAGGGTTTGGCCTACGTCTGTTCGTATCTCCGTCCAGATGACAGGTGCAGAGGCCCCTCGTTAGACAAATTAAGCTTCGTTCCTGGCCTCCCGCCTCGACCGATGTCTCTCCGGCCGTCTCTCCACGGCTTTGTCCAGCCGTCTCTGTTCCCGGGCCGGCTCTCCCTCTTCCTCGTGCTTGCGAGCTCGTTCGGGACTGGTTTCGAGTGGACTGCAAACACTCGTGCAGCGGTAGCAACGCCGACGGAGGCTCGAATCGCGCAGAAACCGGGCGCAAGACGAATGGAGGCTGCTCGAATCGCTATCTAACCCGGCTACCGGTGATACCGAGATATCTCCTACGCTCTCTGTCCGTCCGGCGCGCTTTCGCGATCATGGGTGCCGCAAATTAGAGCCGGCCAACGCGACCGCTTTTTTTTGTTGTTTCGCGACGAAATCGGACGAACTTTCTTGCAGTACAGTGACCCACAAAAGTGTTCGTTCGCGTTCTAAAACGTTGTAAGCTTTTTAAAACTCAATTAAATGAGTGCATTTCTTTTTTTTGATGATTTAGACTAGTTTGCTGGACGATTACTAAGGTGCCTTTTTTAATTTTGCTAGCACTTGGGATGACATAAAAATGTAAACTCTCGTTTCTTAGGTCTTTTTATCTGGGAATATAACAAAAATTTAGAAAATACCTTTCGTAGAACCCGGTGACTTATATATTATACAGTATTATTGTATTATTATACATTATATATTATAGTATAAAATTTGATTGAAAATAGATTATTATCGAAATATATTATACTAAATTTAATCGAATTCGGTTAACGCAGAGTCGAGCTTTACAGGCGTCGAAAGATTTAAAAAACTGAAGGTTATGTCAAGGTTATGTCAAAATTAAAAAAAAAAATGGTTATCGTCCAGTAGACTAGTCCCAGTATCGTCTAAACAAAAATTCAAGTCACTCGGTCCAGCCTTGACAAAGTTATTGCGCTTGAAATATCACTTTTATAAAGAATAATTTCATTACATTTTTATAAGTCAATAAATAATTTTATAGTGGTGTACGAACACTTTTGTTGGCCATTGTTGACGACTTGACGGATTTGTCTCCCGGATTCGCTTATCGGCGCAGAGATCCGACTTTTGTTAAATTGTTTAGACTATTTAGTTAAGTTGTTTAAACTATTTATCCAGCGAACGGCGAAGTTTAACGCAACAACGCGGTTGAGTAAATTTCGAAACGGACTTCGCTGTTTCTTATTTCTCGTGCAGGATCGTTAGACATCTCATTGTCCGATGCTCTAACCTCAAATTACATTGTTCAAAATATGAACTATAAACAAATGCGTCAACTCGGAACACCTGTCTAAACGATTGCAGACATCTTCCTTCGAAACCGTAGCGTTTCGTTCGAGCAGATCCCGCT